GAAGTATAAAAGAATTTTATATCTCTGTGTAAAAAGTTTTCAATTCGCTTAAAAAATTTTCGAGATATGAAGAAATACACAAAAAATAAAATTAACATTAAAAGGTCCGAATGTTGGACTGCTCTCCTGACCAAACTATTGGGACGATATTTCCAAGATGGCGGCTACCCCTAATGTTTTAGATTTCAGAAATCTGAATCCGTCAAAAAATGAGTATGTTTATTCAGAGAAAGTATGTTTTCGTGTCTAATTTCATAACTTGAAATAATTGTCTGCACTAATTAATTAACATATTTGAGGTCAGTCCCTCGAATCATTAAGAATGAGTCATAGAACAGCAATATTAAATCAAAAGCTATTAAGAGACATCAGTTTTTTTTTTGCACTGTTCATCTACCAGTGGAATTTATACTTTTATTCAATCTATATGCAATTTGCTAAATTTTACTGTATACCATTAAATGTACAATTAATTTGAAGTTTGCCCAATATAATTCCAAACGATTTCTATTTTTTAAATAATTTATTGATTTTTTTGGTAATGGTTTCCACTCTAAGTAATTTTAAGAACCTTGAACTTTAGTAAATTTAAGAACCGATACGTTCATATTGGTTGAATCTCATAACTGGACTCTATGGTACAAATGTACCAATGCATATTCCTTCTCATAAATCAATATTCTAACAAGCTCAAATTAATATCTATTCTTTTAAATAGAGAATTTTTTTTACAAAAAAATTATTTATCACTCGGAAATTTACGACAGCTTAAAGTTTTTACTTAACTGCTTACATGCCAATGTTCCAAAACTGGAACATGGACTTGAGTTCAAATTTAATGAACAATTGAGTTTTAATTTAATGACCGAATAATATTGTTTACCATACATCTAAAATTTTCATGGCAAGTATTCTTTGCATTTAGTTTGGTTCCGTTTCCATAATTACTTGACTTTTTATGAATTTGAGAAATTTGATATAATGCTCAAATTTTTATCCAACTTCTTAAAATTTTTTTATAAAAAATTCAATAATTACATATAATACAACTACAACTCTTACAAGCTCTTAAAAGGATAATATAAGCCGCCGATAGGCATCAAGTTTTATTTTAAAATTTAAAGCTAAAAATATTAGTTTAAAACATGATGTTTCATTTCTGAAAATTGTCGTTCAAGGGTTCTGTTTTTAGATTTTCGAGTGATGCATTGATTTATGTTATTTGCATTTCATTCAATGGTATTATGACACTTATTCAAGATAAATAATGATATTTGAATGAAAAGCGTGATAAATTTACAGTACAGGTGGCTGATAACAGAATGACAGAAGCAGAATACTTAGTAAGTACTAATATATGTACTGTTTCTTAGTCAATGATTTTCTCTTTTGTTGAATTGAAATTCTAACTATTGAAAAGAAATTTCTTCTGAAAAGGCTTTCAGGTGGATGTACTACTTTTTAAAGTAGTTTGACAATGATAGAGTTAAAAATTAACATCAAACGAGCAATGGTATTGTATAGATTCTTGTTATTGATAGTTTTCCTTTATGATTCTCTCGACTAATTTTACTTTTGCGATAAATTTGCTGTTACAGAGTGAGTAGATAAAAAGAAAAGCGTGTTCTCCTTCTATTTGTCACATTCACAAATTTTGCTTTCATTTAGTCACATGTATAAGAGATGCATAACGCTAGAACAAACGTAGGCCTTCTTTGAAATATATTCTGATTCAGATTTGGAAGGTCTAGATATTTATCGGCTGGAGCTTAATGAACCAGGAGTTTTAATTTATATGGAAAAGAAAGGTTCTGGGTTCGAATTCCGGGCAAGGCATGGATGTTCTTTCATTCTCTGTACTATCTGTCCCTACTGTGGGAGCAACGTTAGGCCACCTAATATGGTGCCCCTGAAAGAGTGGCCAGTAAATCTGCCCTAAAATGGCTGGGGAAAAAATTGTATGGGAAACATAGATAAAAAAACAACTTAGAACTTATTATGACATTCTAATCTCTGTGGGATATTGTTTTTAAAAGTAATATTGGAGAAGATTAAGTGGGAATCAAAAGTCCTAAAGTAAGCGCAAACACAAAATTAGAAAAAAATGAAAGCCCAGTTACAAAATCGAATAAGGAAATGAAATTTGATGAGCCAACAGAATTAAAAAAAGCTGGAAGAAATTTTGTAAAAATGTCATAAATCGTGCACCTCTAGAAGTATTTTAAAAACTATTCCTGGAGATCATCCAGAATATCTCGTCAACATATAATAATTTTACCCATTGATAAAAGTTTAAAACTTCTAATATACTTCCCAGAATGATATTTTACATTTTCAAGGTCTATTATAGTTTGTCTGAAATAAGAACTCTCTTGGCCATTCGTCTGGACCCGTGGGGATGGTCACCATGATAACGAGGCATAACTATTTTAATTAGGGGTGTGGGGACACTGTTTAGGACAGGTTTTGGCTCTGGTTGGTGAGAGAAAGGGAATCTTTTTCTTCGGTCTATTGTGTTAGCCCTAGAGTGAAGAGAAGCTACCCTACCTGGAATGTTCTATTCTTGTTTCCATAGCAGCCGGCGGCCTTAGACTTTGTGACGGAGGGAGTTCTTACCGTAGTCAAACTATAAGTGGATACCATTTTGTTCCGATTGAGGTTGTGTACTGGAACGCAATTGTTACCACCGTCAGTCAAAAAAGCTGCCAAACTCAAATGTTCCAGGAATGGAACATCGTTGAAATTTTTTTATACCTTTTTTTAATTCTATTGTCTTTAAATGTTCTTTAGTAGCAAATTTATCAAATTTCAAATTATTTGGTTTACCCTTTCTTAATACGGCATTTCGAAGGTTGAATCACTAACGGCATAGGTATTATTATTTATATAAGGACTGTGAAATATTATTACCATAAGGACTGTGAGCATTATCATTTGTTTCTATATTTTACTAGTGATAATTAAGCGAATGTGCTTTCAAAATATATGTACCAGAGTAATTTCTGCCAAGTGATTTCTTTGTGATTGCTAAATCATATGATATAGTCGTGTGCTACATTCTAAGAATAAATAATTAAGTATTAAACAACAATGAATTAAATGAAAAAATAAGTAAAAAATATAATTTGTATTGTTAATTTAAGAGTGATTTTTTACACTCATAACTTTAATCAGCTTACAAAATACCTACGAAATATTACCTGTTAAAATGAACGAGATTAGTTATATTACATGGTACAATTTTTATTGTGGATATAGGAGAATAGGCTAGAAATATTACAAACTTTAAACATTCGTTGAAATCTGGACATAAAATATTTTGTTTTATTTAAATATCCTCCCAATTGAAAATATTTCATTGCAGCAAAAAATGAAGAAGGGGAAAAACGTATTTATAGTGTTTAGCAGTCACAGCGTTTTATCTATTCTTTTAGGGCGACGCTGAATTTGCAACTTTTTTTTGTAATTTCATTTTTTTGTAAGCAAAAGATCTCTTTTAATTAATTTAGTCAATGAATCAACAGAAAAGTATCGAATTTCATAAGCTTATAGATTATAATTATAATTATGAATGCTGATTATTTGCTGTTTTGTAAACATTTCATGTAAAAAAGACTTCCCACGCCGGGAATCGAACCCGGGCCTCCTGGGTGAGAGCCAGGTATCCTAACCACTAGACCACGTGGGACTTATAGCCAGAGATATTTACATAATATATAAAACAAAGTAATCAATTATTCAATTTGTAAATATATATAGAATAAATTGTTCGTGGTATATTTTTTTTCGATTTCCTTTATTTTGTTTTCATGGACCTTCCGGAAGAAATTTTTGTTACCTTATGAATTGTTTTATTTGCATCGTGATAATTTTGTTTTAAAATAATTTTTAAATAATTGACAGTTCCTCTAATATACAATTATTTAAATCATGTCACAGATTTTACTAAATAATTTTTAAGTAACAATTTAAATAGTTAACGATTTCAAAACTTCTCCCATCGCAAAACGAAATTGGTTATTAATTTTTTTCCCTCCCTGACTATCTAGCAATATATCATTATTTTAATTTGTACAAAACATATACTCAGAGTTAATACTGAGTTATGAAAAACGTATCCTATTGTTGTTAAAATGGCATAAAATCGCTCTTATGAGAGTTTACGGATGATTTTAACTTCGCTTTCTTAAAAGACAAGTGAGAAAAAGGAAAATTGTTTGCGTTCTTAAATGCAATAAATATGTGTATTAAAAGAACACCTTTTATTTCGATTTGAAAGGTTCTGAACGCAGAAGATTAGGAAAATGTTTTGTATTTGTTTTTTAATAAAAATATGGTTGAAAGCAATTATAAATTTAAAAGATAACTTCTCCTCATGCTTCGTGGCGCCATCTAGTATATTGGATTTTAACTTTAAGCTCTGGGGGAGTATTTCTTCTTTTAAGTTAAGAGGGGCAATTTTTTAAAATTTTCCAGAAAAATAAAACTCTTTCTCAGCCACAATGAGAAATTTCTGACTCAAAACTCTATTGGTTTTAAATTTTGTGGCATAATCCATGGTCCATGTAGACAAAGAACGTCTTATTCACAGAATTTTTCTCATCGAGGTGCCTCCAATAAAGATATTAATAAAAATATTTTAAAAATCATAAAACATATTTTTTTAAATTCTGAAAAATATTCACAAAGATTTTCAATAGTTTTTTTTATCCCACTATTTAATCAAGTCGTAATATTTGAATTATTTATAATATGTTAAGATTAAATGTCGCAATACCAATTTTTAAAAATTTTTATAATTTTTTTTTCTGAATTTGCCGTGCAATATCTGCAATATTGGACCGAAATGAAAAATTGCAAGAAACTATCAAAGAATAATATTATGTGTGACGTGACTTTAAGGAAAAGAAGCCATTAAAATAAGAATTCTGTATTTATTAATTATAAATGAGTAAAATAAATATAAAAATGCAGAGACAAGGCATTCCTTAATTTGTAATTCCTTTTATTCATAATTTACAAACTCTCCATAATTTATCAATAACATTCATGTGGAAACAAAATGAATCTCATGGAACAACTGAGAAAGTGACAGCCATCCCATAACTCATGTGGTCATCAACATGACAGTGTAAGATCCAGGTACCCGGATTATCATTCATCATCTCTACAGTCTCGAAATAACCGGGGAACAAATCAACAACGTCTCCACGCCGGACAGTGTCCGAGCGAATGAGAAACGTCTGACCATGGAAATGAGCAGTATGAAGATCCTGTTCACTTCCCATTCCCAGGAGGTACCAAGCTGTCTTAGTACCGTTTCGAGACACTAGTCCTTCCAGAGTACCAAATATTCGTCCGTTTACAGCTGTTAAAAGAATCAAGACAAGAGATTAGTTTTCAAGACAAAATTGCGCTGAAGGTGAATTACAAGGGTAAAAATTTAAAACGAATACTATATATATATATATATATATATATATAAGTTCAAAATGAAGAATAAAACAAAGAAAAATTATAGACATATGAAAAAAGGGGGGGGGAATAATAAGTAAAAAATAACAAACAACAGTTTATATAATATATTTAAAAAAAAAGAAAAAAAAAGGATGAAATTTTATTTAAAAAACCGGAAAAATAAAACCGGGAAAAAAAAAGATATAATCTTTTCTTCAGCCCACACGATTATATCCGCAAAACAGAGTGCTTTCTGATATTGTATCAATAAAGCCAAAGCAAAATATATTAATACAATAGTGTGAGGAGCACTCAAAATTTTTTTTTATAAAAATAACAACAAATAAAATAGATCACAAAAAGTAAAAATAGCATGCAAAAACAGAAAATAAAATAAAAAACATTTAAAAGGGACTATAAAGCGAGTAGCAAAATCAGATCAACTTACAAGGACAGAAAATTTTGTTTGAACTTATGTTGAACTTATGTTGTTATGTTATGATGAACTTTAGTTGAAACTTATTGTTTTTCTTAACTTTCCTCGTGTTTTCTTGTATTTACTTATTTATTATATATATATATATATATATTATAGGTTATATTTCCATGCGAAATGTAAAGTTGTGAGGAATGAATTTGTTAGAGAATGGAGTAATAAAGTTCAATAGCACTAAGATGAGCTATTAAACTTTAGAGATAAAAAGAATTTCGCGTTATAGAAGAAAAACTTATCCCCCAGATCTCAACGATGTGCGGCAAGGGATAATTAATCGATTTCTTAATGACGTGCATACACGAAGAAAGCCTTTAATCATATTTAATTACATCGCATTGTTTTGATTTCGTCGTGTTAAGATTTTAAAAAAAAATGATATTAAAAATTCACCCCATATTCTGCATGGAAATATATTCTGCCTTGATTTGCCTCCTTCAGTCAGAACGGTTTTTCTTGTTTTGTTACCTAGATTTTCATTGAAAACTGTGAGTTTTCATATTTCTAATTTGCCCTGTTAACAAGCGCTCGAAATATGTCAATTTTTTGCTATTTTATTCATGAATCAAGTTAGGTCTTTATAGGCAGGTATGATACGATTATTTAAAAATGTACATATGATTATTTATAGATATGATAATTTAAAAGTTATTGATTGGGCTGTAGTGTCCAAGAAGAAGGAGATTAATTACATTTCTTACTCTCCAAGTGCACAAGAGAGAGGTATAGATATATAGATAGATAGATAGATTATATAGATAGATACAGATATTAATAGATAGGGAGAGAGAGAGAGTGAGAGAGGGGAGTTTGTTTATTAAGTATGTTTATTCGTAGTACGTACATTTCCAAAATACAGAATGAACAAAGTGTTTTGCACGATTGCACTTTTGGTAATTTGACCATATGCTTCAATTAATCCTTAACTTATAAAATAAAATATAAATCAGCATTACCGTGCATTCTATTGCTGGCTTTAAAATCAGCATCATTAAAATCCACTGAATAGGGTTGCCTAGTGTATCTCATGACATTTTCTTGAATGTACCAACTGTCATTTTCATCTAGAATAGTGTATAGCACAACGAATTCTTGTTCTGCATCTGTCCTGTCTCCTGAAAAAAAAATAATAAAAAAGTAATATTTTTGACAATGAAATATCGCAAATAAGTTAAAATAAATAACTTTTTTATAATTATTTAAATAAGCTTCTATTGAAGAATATTCTTAAACATTTGAAAATTCTACCAATGAGTGGATAACAGCCACAAATATTCAAAATATGAAATGTAATTAGTCTTTAACCCTATTTATTAAAAAAATAATTAAATGGTAAATTAATAATTTTATATATAAAAAAATAGTAAATAATTAGTAACAAAATCATACAAGTGAATAAAAGTATAATTATACGAATAAATTAATAATTGTGTAATAAAAAGCATTTTAGACTTTTATTTGATTCCTCAAAAAGCTTAAGCTGCTGTGAATAACTCTTATCTCAGAATTATTGGCGACAAAACCTAAGACATATCTCTAATAAAAATACCATTTAATAGCTAGATTTATCTCCATTTAATAGGTAGGTTTTTGTAGTGATTCATAAGTTGTTTCTCCTTATTCCCAGAAAACCAGTTTGCATTTTATACTACTATTTAATTTGAAATTCTACCTATTAAAAGTTTTGAATCTTCTTTTAAATTAGTAAGTCTTTTTTAACAATTTATAAAAATTTAATAATAACGTAATTAGCGATTCTGTTATTAATATCATAATCAGCATGTTTTTACAATAAAAAAAACCAAACATCTAGAAAAAAAGGATCCAAATATCAATTTAAATTATTGCTATTATCTTAAATAAAAATAATAAACTTTTCAAGGATTTCAGATCAATATAAAAATAGCTATTTGCAACACAATTCCTAAATTATAAAATTCATTGTTCATTCCCAAAATTAAAACTCACCATTTTCGTTTAAAATTCCATGACGACAAATGACTAGAGGGCCAATGAGCCCAGCATTTGTGTCTTTTACTGGATCAACAGCTGAATAATAAGCCCATGAAGTGCAGTTGAATCCATTGGGACCAGGGCCAGCCATTTTCGGTACAACCCATTCGTAAACCATAACATCTCCTGGGTAAACTGGATCCTCATCAGCTCCTAGATTCATGTGATTTTTGTCTTGGTGGTTTAGGAGTCCATGTGGATGAAACGAATAAGGTCTTGATGCCATATTCCGAAACGTAACTCGTAAGAGATCGCCTACTTCAGCTTTTATCATCGGACCTAGAACTCCTAGGTGAATTGTTTTTGGAGTTTCCCATTTTCTTTTGGTAAAGGTTCCGTCAGTGAATTCTCTAAAAAGAGCTTTCTTATATCGGGTTCCAATACGGTTGTCGCCACGTTCCACGAACCTTTTACTTTCTCTGGAAAGGAAAGCGAAGTTAAAATACGAATTAAGTTATTTTAATTTCAACAATGACTTTTAATTATGTTAATGGTAATGAATCAATTTATGAAATTCGGCATTCTGAAAAGCCTTTGTCATTGCTTAGATTGAGAAAAAAGTATTGTTAAATCTATTAGAATATGGTGAATTTACCATGTTACTGAATTTACGGGAATACTAAAAAAGGTTGGCAATTTTTACTGAATCGCTTTGGTAATAATTTTGATTAAATTAACAATATAATATGGTTTTATAATGTGTGATAAAGTTAGGCAAATGTGGTAAAATTTGGTAATTTTATCATACCTCCGTGCATGGTCTAAAAACCATTTATTTGGTTTTTACTTTTCAGTTTTGTATTTTTCACTAAATGTGTGGTAGTAAGAACTATAATTAACTATAATTTTGAAAACCTGTTACCTCAGCAACGGAGAAATTACTAAATGAATGGTTTAAATATTGTATATTTTGGTTTCATTGACCTAAAATGTCATCATTACACAGCATGGCAATTTTAACAGATTTTTTTCTCCGTGTAAGATTTATAGAATACCTAGTCCTTGTATAGAATGCCAAATGGCAAACCCAAAAAGCATGAAATGAATAATATTTCATACTTTTCATTGTCATTCAGTAGAATGACGAATAAAGAACCTTAATGCAATATATATATAATAATGATTCAAGCATTTCATACTTTGCATAAAATGCATTTGTCCTAATAAGGAATGCATAGAAAAAGCGTAAAATAATTCTTTTATTTCATACTTTGGCTGAAATTGCCACACATAATTATTCGCAGATTTAATTTGATTTTTGATGGTGACATATGCATTTTATGCTTTACTTTTTTACTTGGAAATTTTTTTTTAGACTGACATCATTCAAATGCAACAACTTATACTTTAGCAAATGTTTCAATTTAGCAGTTAGACGAAAAGTTTAATAGACACTTTAATAGACACTTTAATAGATATTTTATTAAGCTAAGTTTAAAACAGATTAGGATTCGTTCACTTAAACAAATAGCTACAATTTTGGACCTAACCCGCTTTATTAATGAAAGAATATATTCCTGCACTGAATTTGTAATTTTGTAGTTAACAATTACGCTCTCAAGCCATTCATATTTTGCAGAAGCAATGATTCTCTAATACATTATTTTATTGACGATGTATATTAAATTTTAAACTTTTTTATTACCTAAATGAAACGTTGTTGCAAGTCAAATTTAAACAGAATTAGATACTAATATTTGAACAATTACTTTTCTAAAAATATTTTTTAATAAATATGCTTTAAATTTTTATTACTTTTGTATAATATTCAAGTAGATGGAATCTAGTTTTATTACGAATTTTTAAATTGTATTATTTTATGAACACTATAATATATATTAAAAACCAAAACATTTTTCTTAAAAATAGATAGTTGAATCTAAATTTAATGATGAAAAGGAGAATTTCTGACTACGAATTTGCTCGAAATGTCTTTTCATTAACAGATTCATTTTCTACAGCGTATAAAATATAAATAGATTATTTCATGAACACTATAACCTCAAACCTGTATAAAAAACTGAAACATCTTAAAAATAGATATTTGAATCTAAGTTTAATGATGATAAGGAGAATTTCCGACAACGAACTTGCTTGAAATTTCTTTTCATTTACAGATTCATTTTCGACAACGTATAAAATATAATAGTGATGCGACCCTAATTCAAACTGCTGTTCACAGTTAAATAAGTTCTGGTCTCAAGTATGCAAAATATAATTGCTGTAAGAGCATACTTACTCGCTATCCATTAAGCTACCTCCCAGAATTAAATGTCTGTCTTTGGGAGCATACTCCCATTCTTCCTCAAGAGCTGCGACAAAATATTCTCGAATTTTGCCATCACGCATTGGTGTTGCTTTCATTTTAAATTCCGGTAAAGGTTTCTTCATTGTCTCCTTCTCGTATTGTTTCTCTTCTTTAGAATTTTCATCATAATATTCCACTCGACTTGCGATTTCATTGATGCTGCTGTCACTAATCTGACGTTTCTGGCGATTGCCAGTTAGGCATTCAGCAACTCTGTACAAAGCTCTCATTCCTCCAGTAAGATGGCTGTTTGTTCTGCATTCTATAATCCAGTCACCTGTGGATAGTAAAATGATGTTAATATATTAAGTGTTGAAGTAATATTACGAACAATCAGCCATCTTATAGGAGGAATGAGACACTTTGTACAGAGCCCTCATTTCTCTAGTAAGATGGCTATTTGTTCGACATTTCATAATCCAGTCAACTATTGGTAGTAAAATGATGTCACTATATTAAGTGATGCAGTAATATTACCAACCAGATGCACTTCGTATAGTGGCCTCATTCCTACCATGAGTTGACATTTTGTCCGAAATTCTACAAGCTACCTGAAATTCTACCTGGGGCCGAGATAGCCTGGTTCACAGGGTACTGGGCCCATGCAAAAGATTTCGAGGGTTCGATACCCGAAAGGCCAAAGAGTGGTGACTGATGCATGTTAAATCTGACGAGTCACAAAGTCTTTCATGTTCCTATAACAAATCATACCTCTAGGAGTACTCATCCAGGCGCTTCCTTGTTTTTTGGATTGGTTCAAAATTACAAGGCTGCGGAGTTGAAAATTGTAGTTGTAAACCCAAAATTGAGTCGGCTGTTCAACGACAGTTACAAAATATAAAATAAATCTAGTCACCTGTTGGATGGACAAAAAATTATACAATAACGACTATACATAATGTTAAGTGATGTAGTAATGTTTCGACTATACATAATGGCTATACATAATGTTAAGTGATGTAGAAATATTTCGACCCAACAAATATTGCTAAAGGCTGAATGAGATACTTTGTATGGTGTCCTTATTCCAAGGGTTCCATTTTTATCTCTTAGTATACGATGTAAGAGCCGTAATTAGTTATCTTAATTCAATTTCGTTACGCGTTCCGGGAGAAGAAAACTGTTCATTAGAGCAAAAGTTATTTACCGCCCTTTAATTTTTATTTACTTATCACTCGTAGTAAATTTTTTTGCTATTTGTTTTTAGCTTTCGTCTTGCTTATGAACAAGGATAAAAAGTTAAGTAAAATTACCATTCTGTATGAGGATGACATTACTGAAAAACAAACATAATTCGGGTTATTAAAATCAAAATATATGATATTTAAACCATTCATTTGTTAATTTCGTCTTTCATATGTTAACGGTTTACCGGGAATTCCGGTTTTCAAATTATATTTCTTATTGCCACATATTTAATAAAAAACTGTAAAACAAATTTTACTAAATATATGGCTTCGTGCCACGTCAGGAAACGTTGTGCTCTAAAGTTTCATGATAAAATTAAAAAAATTTACCGCGTTGACTAAATTTTATCACATATTATAAAACCATGACTTATTGATAAGTATGCAAAAATCATTACTAAAGTTTACCAGTAAAAATTACCGAGATTTTTGGCGTTCCCATAGAGCCAAAACATGATAATTTTACCTAATTCTGATATTACCGGGAATTCCACTTTTCAAAATTATATTTCTTATTACCACATATTTAATTAAAAAAAATACAAAGCTGTAAAACAAATTTAACTAAATATATGGCTTCGTGCCACGTCATGAAATTGCGTGCCCTGAAATTTCATGACAAAATTACCAGATTTTACCTCGTTGACTAAATTTTATTACATATTATAAAACCATGACTTATTGGTAAGTATGCAAAAATCATCACCAACGTTTTCCAGTAAAAACTACCGAGCTTTTTGGCTTTCCCACAGAGCCAAAACATGATAAATTTTATCTTTAACATATTTTTTTAACATATTTTTTTTAAGTGTAATATAAGTTATTTATGTTTATTTCAATCTTTTATTCTAAATAATTCTGTTTTGCTCTCAAATCTTTAATTTATTGTATTTGTAATAAAGAATTAGGAAAACTGTTCTCCTCGATTACAGAATTGATTTCAGATAACCCACATAAAAAAAAAATGTTCTTTTTCCTTCATAATAATGTAATAATTGCGTGGCCTAATTTTCCGATGAACAATTAAACAATTAAGTTTTACTCAATATTGTTCCATAAGAACGAAGCAAGAGAATACATAAGAAATACATAACACCTAAATCAAAATCAGTATTTATTCTTTCACGCTTTGTAAGTTGTAATTATTTTTGACGCTACATACTTGAAGTTTTAGCTTAAGGAAATCTTAAACCATCGCTTTTAATAGAAATGAAAAAAAAAATAGTAAAAAATATTCACGATAAAAAATTATTTGAATTCATTAAAGAAAAAATACGTTCTTCCTCGTTCTTAAACCTTTTCTTCCTATTTCAATTTAAACTTTGTCTTACGAGTTATAAGGCAAACTAAAAGTTAGTAGTCTTTTTTTTCCCTTCTTATAATTAAATCTTCTTAAACTTCTTGCATAGAATGTTCTTCTTTTTATTTTTATTTTTTAAATTTAACCTAGAAGCAATATTTACTGTCCCTCAAGCTGCGTAAGGATTAATATTTACTTTTTTCATTTTGTTTTTATGTATTTTAGCAATTTGGTGTGTTTTAAATCTTGCCAATATTTAACTTAGAATAAAATTTGATTAAAATATTCAACTTTTTTCTACAACGACTTTACGTTTTCCTGGGAGGTAAAATCAAAATGAATGAAAATAAAATATATTTCTAAAACTATTTTTCTAAAGTATGATTGAAAGGAAAATCTTATAATTTTTTTTTACTTAGTGTCATTTAAATTTTTTTATTTCTAACTATATGAAGTGTCAAAGAAACATTGTAAAATTTAAAATATGCTCAGAAATGTATTTCGAAAAGTTAGAGGAAATGTATATTTATTGCGTTTTCTCTAAAATAAGATTGAAATAAATGCATACTCTTTGCACGTTAAGTTTCTTTTAGAAGTATTTCAAATTTCATGAAGTGATTGACATATTTTAATTAAGAAATAAAGGTTTTGTTTAAAGTGTCAAAATAAATATTTAAAAAAATTGGATGAAAAGTAAGCTTAACATAAAAAAAAACGTTGAATTTCGTACCTTTTATGGTAATATGTAGAGCAATATTTGAAAATTTACGAAATGGTTTATTTAATTATAGTTGAAGAGATAACGTATTAGTTTAAATGCTTCTAAAATGTCTGATGTAAGCAAAATCAACTAACGTTAAAATCTATCCAAACTGATCAGATTTTAATCAAGAAACGTTTTTTAATTTAATTTATTGTAATTCTGAATAAAAATTCAAAATCTGTCATTAATTTGTATCAAATGTTTATATCTGATTACGTTGGTTTTATAATTTTTTTCCAAACTACTGGAAAACAATGTATTTTAATGTTATAAGTATTTTAGATAAGTGTGGTTATTTAAACTTATTAGTGGTGCATGTTTGAATAGTTACCATTTTTCAATATTGTGAACTCAAATTTATTTGGAATATCTATGTTAATTTAAAATAACTATTATTACGAGCTATCATCTTACACTGTCATGTATCTAAGATGTATATATGCACCTTATACATTAGATTACATAAGATACATCTTATATATCATCTTATATATAAGATTCCTATTAATGCAATAATTGGATATCTCTGAAAATGTCCTGATGAAGAAAATTGTTACCATGGTAATATGTATCTAGGTTAAACATTAGGGGAGAGTGGGGTCAATTGTAACATTTTTTANTAAATTTTTTTCCAAACTACTGGAAAACAATGTATTTTAATGTTATAAGTATTTTAGATAAGTGTGGTTATTTAAACTTATTAGTGGTACAAGTTTGAATAGTTACCATTTTTCAATATTGTGAACTCAAATTTATTTGGAATATCTGTGTTAATTTAAAATAACTATTATTACAAGCTATCATCTTGCACTGTTATGTATATAAGATGTATATATACATCTTATATATAGGATTACATAAGATATATCTTATATATAATCTTATTTATAAGATTTCTATTAATGCAATAACTCGATATTTCTGAAAATGTCCTGATGAAGAAAATTTTTACCATGGTAATATGCTGTATGAAGGTTAAACATTACATTCAAAAAAGTTTGATAAAAACTACCAAAATAAAATAATAAAATTTACTGTGCTTCTGCCTTTATGGGAACACCAAAAAGTTCGATAAAAATTACTGAAGCGCTTAATGGTTTTGGTGAAATTAATAATAAAATTTGCCTTTATAATGTGCAGTTAAATTTGATAAACGTGTAATTTTATTTTGATAACTTAGAACATGGTATAAAAAACATTTATTCAGTTAAATATATTTTTTAATTTTGTATTTTTTACTAATAGTAATGAGTGGTAATAAGAACTATAATTTTGAAAACCAGAATTTCTGATAAACCGTTGCCATTTGAACGGAAAAATGAATGGCTTAAATACTATATATTTTGGCTTTATTGGCCAGAATTTTGGCTTATTTTTTTTACCAGAAATGTCATTACCATACGATGCGGTAATTTTATCATAATATTTTTCTTCGTTTACTTTATATAACTCGCTAAAACAAAATATGTCATTTTATTTAAAAAAAAAGCTTTCATTTAAACTTTATTTCGCTCGAAAATCTAAGCAACCACAAAACGAATTAATCTAGAAATTAACGAATATATGAGACAGATAAGAATAATTATAAATATGTCCAAATGTTTTTTCGCAACTTTCGGACAAATTTAAAGTTAGTAATTTGATATTGTTACATTTAAAATAGCACTTAATACAAACCTTCATTTTCCACTGTCATTGTTATTGCATATAAGATACTCGGCACTACAGTCACCGTATCTCTATAGATGCCCCGATGGAGGAAATTGTTGCCATGGAAATATGCTGTATGCAGATCAATGGATCTACCAACACAAAGGATGTTCCACACCACGCGATCTCCTTTACACATCGATAGTCCTTCCAAGTTTCCGTACATACGTCCATTAATAGCTAAAACCCAAGAGCCGAATTAATAGACAGAATTTGAACAATTGGATATTATGTTCTGTCTTCTTAGCAGAATTCAAGCGATTATTCGTTTGAACGAATTCTTAAATTTATATGAGATGAATTTTTAACACAGTTTTAAATTAACACAAAATTAGCTTTAAGCTCGCATGTTAGATTTAAAAAGACATGGGATTTTTTATGCATTCTAATTTTATACCATGCATCTTTAGCATAGTTTCAAATTGACACAAAATCAGCTTTAAGCTCGCATGCTAGATTTAAAATGCTATGGGATTTTTTTATGCATTCTTACTTTTATACTAAATGTATCTTTAACATAGTTTCAAATTGACACAAATTCAGCTTTAAGCTCGCATGCTAGATCTAAAATGTGATGGGATTTTTTATGAATGGAAATGAATTGCTTTTACGACGATTTCGTGTCTGTAATGGTGGAATATTGAGTTCAAAATTTCAACCACTTTTGAGTTAGATAACTCGAATTTTAACTGCACTTTAAAAAATTCCGTATCAAATTACGGTACAAAGTACCAGCATTTTAGGTACATCATCCGTGAGATTCATTTTAACCGTAAAATATCATACCGTAATTTTTACAGTAATAGTTATTTTAGGATTTTACGATAATTATTACTGTAAAAATTATGGTATATCAGATTTTTCGTTCCGTAACATATACCGATATAATGGATTAGACGGTAAAAAGTATCCACACTCAGAGTTCCAGTCCTTTTTACCGCAATTTGATTCTGAAGTTTTTACAGTGCTCCGTACTTGATAATAATGCAAATTTTCATTTGTTAATTGCTGCAAACCAAATTTTTTTTCACAAGTTTATCACCAGAAAGAATTTATCGTCAATAAAAGCTTCGACTTATTTTTGATTAACTAGGGTACTTAAATATAAACTGAAGCTTAGTGGTTGGTGTTACCAATAGTTTTTCTAAAAAGGGTTTGCTAAATTTGTTGCTTTACTTTTTATTTTTGTTTTTCCAATTGAAATTTGACAGTTTTTCTATGCAAAAAAATTAACAGGCACAAATTAATAAAAGTTAATAAAAGTTTTGAAAGCTACACTTTTAAAGTAGACAGATAAAAGGATAATAATTTCATTATTATTAAACCAAGAAAGAAAAACTTAGGGTGTAATCTACATAATTAACTTTTAATCCAAAGAAAATTTTCTGCAGTCTTTTTGCAAGTCAGGCACCCTACATTTTTCGTTTCAGATCTAACAAAAATAAATTTTTTTCTCTTTTTCAGTGTAATCGAAAAACGTAGTTTTTAAAACTTTATTTAATTTTATTATAAATGTATCTCCTTTTAAATTTGATCATGCACTGAAAATCAATTCTGACAGTATCTTGCTTTCGTTCGTTTTTTATTTTGATTTTCGTAGCATCAGAGATTATCAAATTTGTAACTGAAGGATTTGACTTAGAGCAATACATCGATAAACTACACTTTTTCCAAAAGTAATATATTTTGCTTCAAACTGCTAATTATTATTGTTTCCAAATAGGTTCATTACAAGTATTTTCTAAATAACATTATAATAGCTAAAATAATTTTGCTGCTAACAGGAAAATCGTGGTGTTTTTCACCGAAACTACTTTCAAAAAATTATTTTGGTCATTTTAAAAGTATTGATTATCATTATATTGTTCCAAACTCTTCAATTTAAATGAGAATAAAATTGGTCCATATTTTTCTTAAATACTTGTTAGCTAACATCTAATGTAATAAAATTTAGATAATTGTGGTCAAAATTTTAGCTGAGTTATCACACTTAAACAACTAAATCCAGTTGAAGCAGTTCGATTTTTTAGTTCAGCTGTATAATTTTGTATTTTTCAATTCCCCCTCATGAGACAAGAATACTCAAACATTAATACACATTAGTTTTCGTAGAGGAGAATTTTGATTTGGTTTGGCTGTTAAAAAACAACTCTAGTTACTACACTTAATGCACTAAAAGTATACTAATAGGCTATTGGCAATGGTATGGGATTCTATTTCAATAATAATGCGAAGGTGTTAATGGCGTACTTCCTACTTCCGTGTTAAAATTGTTAAAATTCAGATAAGATGGAGGATGATGGTAGTAATCACCCTGCCTTCGCACCACTCTGTTCAACCACATAAGCGTGCATGAACTTTATATCGGTTTTGAAACTGAGCGGAATATTGAATTAGAGTTGATTCCGAGCTACTAAGAACACATAAACTATAGTTTGTGTAAGCTAAGAAGTCTGAAATCGTCTGGTGCTATGGAAACAAGAGTGGCGCACTTTAGGGAGGGTAGCTTCACTCTAGGACTAACACAATAGACCGAAGAGATTCCCTTTCTCTCACCAACTCGAGCCGAAACCACTCTAAAACAGTGACCCCGCACTCCTACTTGAAACAGTCATACCTCGTTACCATGGTCACCGCCACAGGTCCAGACGAATGTCTGGAGGAGTTCTCATTTTGAACAAACTATAAGATATACACGGGAAATACCACTTCCCGTGAAGCTGTAATTCACCATACTGACTTGGCTGCTCTTTTTGACTGACACACCTAACATACTTTCCATACTCGATTCTATTTTGCTTCTTTTAACTCTGAACTTTTTTTTAATTTTTAAATCAAATTTTACTAATTCAGTTACTTTATTGTAATATTTAAGAGTATAATAACATATAAATATGTATTATTTATATTGTTTCTATGTCAACCGTATTCTACTCCTTATATTAACCCTTAGATAAGCAATAATATAAGAATCAATTCTGTCATATAAGGGGCATAGCACTTTTTTTTACTGTGTCCTATGCCACGCAAATGGCAGCGAAATCCTTTTTTTTCACTTTAATTGTTAACATATTTGAAATTAATTTAATCTTTGTTAATGTATTATTGTTATTGGTGTTATAATTAATTATTGTAAGCATATCTTCTGGGAATTAAGCTTGAAGTATTTCTAGACAGTTAAGGGTTAAAATATACAGGATGGATTAAAATATACCAAGGGAAAAAACAAAGAAAACCGAGAAAGTCTTACAACTGTGATTGATAGTTTGTGTAAAAGCGACGCATGCCTTGCGAACATTGTCAAAAACTTCAATTTATACTATCGTAAACGTGTTATAATATTTAATTAACTGTATTCATGCTTATTACGCTTATCATTATGCAATTAATCAGAAATTATGCGCAAATGCATAAAAAAGTAAAAAACAATTATGGAAATAAAAACAAATCGTTTTCTGTGTATATAAAATCTAAACAGAATGGCATTTTTTATTGTAAAATAACGTTTTACAATTTGACACGTAACACAGATGAAAACTTTCTGCTTTTTGATTAAATTAACTAGATGAATGAAAGAGAAGTTTAATCTGACAGTTTTATCAGGAAGCTATTTACCTAATGCAATCTGCGTCCCTTTTATGAACGGAGTATGATAAAACCTAATTACTTTTGCATGTATTTATCGTCAAAAAATAACCACAAGAAAGTCAAGATATAACCGAATTATAATAAAAAAATAAACATTCATGAAGAAATAACATAAATATACAGCTCGTTTAATAAGAACAAAAAAAAAGTCTATTTGGATGTTAACTGGTATGCGTGAAATGAAATTGTACATTTTGGGTGTGTTTCTAACTGTCGCTCACTTATCTTTTTTCCTTGTACTCCTTGTATGGAAATTAAGTTGAATGTAATATCTTTCTTTCAAATGCTTCAATCTAAAAACTTCAAAAAGCGCAGAAAGACTTTAAAGATAATTTACTTCAAGAATTCTTTTACGATCATGTAAAGTATTGTGTGTTTTTTGTAATTATCTTAATATATATTTATTACTGAGCCCTGTCCCGCCCCCGCCAAGGGGCATCCAAGGGGTACTGATAGATTATAAACATAACACAGAAAACTGTGCAAAGCACATCATGAATTACAACTTGAAAAAACATTTAAGAAGTTGAAAAGTAAATATATGAATTGTGAGTATATGAATTGGGAGTATCTTAATATGAATTGAACATATGAATTGGGAGTATCTTAATATATATATATAAATCTAATGATAATGTCATTGATTTTTTCATTGTTGTAAATTCATTTTTATTGGTTGGAAAATCACATGATAGATCCAGTTTTCGCACACTAACTTTCATATTGGTATGGTTGTCATCAGCATTAAATTGATATGAGTTATAGGTCGGTAGGGACTTTATTTACGTCACAATAGAGCTGCACAATGGGCTATTGGCGGCGGTCTGGGGAACACTCCTGAGGATGATCCGAAGACGTGCCATCACAATTCTCTACTGAGGAGATGGCTCCCCTGCTCAATTGATTCTCTACTGAGGGGATGGCCTCCCTGCTTTGGTAACCGGACGACTGCGCACGAAGTCGAGTACTTTACGGTAGAAAAGTTTAATAAGAACCGGTACCGCTCACCCTCGGTCCCTACGCAGACTGATCAAAGTGGTCACCCACCTGCTTACTGAATGCGTGATTTCGGTGTTCTACTGGGAACCGTGTCTTTACGATCAGTCCACTGCAAACTATAAGTCATAAAGTTATTGTTTTCCTGTAAATATATTTGTTTCCCTAATTTGAGGGTTAAAATTACCTGTACTGTTATTATTATATTTTTGATTTTGTTTTATTTCTAAATTAAGTGTTTAGGAAAATTGTTTATTATTATTATTATTATTATTAGAATATCGGTGTCTGATCTTATTAACCATATCTACATATGGCTTTCTTTCACTTTTGTGTAGAATTGTGTAGATTTGACTAGTGACGATTTATTGATTAGACTGGAGGAACAATTTTTTTTCTGTTACAGGAGAATTTTTAACAAATCCCGTTTGTAACAAATCTGCAATCGATTCAATCTACATAATCTATAATCTTTTTATAGCCAAGTTACATTTTTTTAAAATGAAAATTTAAATCATTTTTGGTCGAAATGTGTAAACTAATTGAGGGTTAACGTTAACTTTGGGGGTCACATAAATGTTGCGACGAACTTCTAAAGACGTTAGGGCTGATGATAAGGATTAAAATTGCTCAGGAACCCATGACCGGAAATGTCAAACACCGCTAGGGGCGCTTCCCTATTATAAATACTTTTTCTGAGTGCTTCTAGACATGTCACATTAGATAAGCTTCCTCAACCGCGCCCTTAGCATGACATTTCTAGGCATTGTTTCCTATGCAATTTTAATCGTGTTGATGTGCCTTAACTCCCTTAAAAGGTTTGTCACAACATTTATGCGAACCCTTACATATAACGTTTTTTATCTCGTACATTTCTACAAAAATAGACTAGAAATATCATACTAAAAATTTCATTTAAAGTATGCAGCTTTAGGAGTAAAACTAATTTAGGATTTGAAATACCCATACCAGAATTAAACAAGATCAAGTATTTTTATAAGTGCAACGAAAAATTTGTTATGCAGTGTTATTTACTTTTTTTCCCCTCCTCCTCCGAAAAACAGATATTCAGTCAGATTCAAAAACAAATTTTCATACCTTCCCACATTCAATAAATTTTTCTTACCGTATCTTCTATTGGCAATCCTAAAATCATTGTCATAAAAATCAACACCATATGGATCACTCGTATATGCCAAGACATTGTCGTCAATATAGTGAGCAACATTTTCATCCACAGCAGAAAAAAGTAGCGAGAATTCTCGATCGAAGTTCTTCTACAAATAAACGTGAAAAAAGAAAAATTTTAGTTTTAGAAATTTAGTCAAGAATTACGAAATTTGATTAAATTACATTTGTAACTCAATAAAACTGAAACAAATTCGAGATATTTACAAAATTTTGTTGTTGTTTTGATTACAACTGACGGAACTTTGATTACAACAGACGAGATATTTGCAAAATTTTGTTGTTGTTTTGGTTAGAACTGACAAAACTTTGATTACAACAGACGAGATATTTTAAATTTTTTGTTGTTGTTTTGATTACAATTGACAGAGACAAATAGATTTATTTGAGATTGTTTTGAGGTGTTAAGGTCAATTTGAGGTTCATTAGAAGTTGACTTAAAAAACAACCTTAAAAAACCTACCTCCCAAGGTTTATAATCAAGATTTATGAAATTGTTTTATTCAGGCTTTAGGCAGTTTTAAAGTTGAAAGAAATCTACCTTAGAGCAACCAGCTTAGAGAGGTCAATTTTGAAAGATATATACAACTGTTTTGATTACAACTGACAGAAACAAATGAGTTTATTTGTGATTGTTTTGAGGTGTTAAGCTTGATTTGAGGTTTATTAGAAGTTGACTTAAAAAACAACCTTAAAAAATCAGCCTCCTAAGGTTTATAATCAAGATGCATGAGGTTGTTTTATTAAAATTTTAGGTTGTTTTAAAGTTGAGAGAAATCTATCTTAGAGCAACCTGCTTAGAGAAGTCAATTTTCAGGGGTACAGGCTATTTTTTCTACACTTCAAGTGAATAAATATATTTGAGGTGTGAATAATTTCACGCGATTTCAACTATAAGTAATGCTTAGCTTTAACTCAGGTTAGTTTTATAAGATGTTAATAAGTATTAAATTAAGGTTTATTGATGAATTTACTTTTGGTGCAAATCATGACAAAATTATCTACCTCTGGCGTATCAGGTTGTTTTGATGTTGACAAGTGTCACTTCACTTGTAAACATCAAAACAACCTGAAAAAATACCTTATTCTTGGAACGTTTAGTTGGGAGTTTTCTAGTTTTCTAGTTTAGAGTTGGAACATTTAGATAAGTTATATTAGTTAACTGATCACAAAATTTGTATATAAATTTTCAAACATAACGAAGTTTAAGAAAAATGTAATTTTATAGAGAATTATAACAAATTTGTATATGTAGTTTTGATTATACAATAAATATGTCTTACAAGAATCGATCGATCTCTTACAAGAAATCGAAATTTTAATTATATAGAAATTTTATCTTCTTAAATACAATAATTTAATCGGATATAAACTTTCAACTTCAAAATAGTATAATTTGTTAATGCTAATTTGTAATGTTGATAAAAATTTTGGAATTTGAATCTAGCTAAGTAATCTATTGAATCTAGCTAAATTTTCCTTTTATGTAAAATTTAATTATAAATGAAGTTTAAAAGAGAATATTGAAGCAGGTTTTGAGATAAAAAAAAGTATTTTTTGAGGTTATAAATATCCGCTAATGGTAAAAATATGTTATAGATAAATTTTTAATACCTCCTTTTTTAAAGATAGTTCTTTTAGCAATTCTTTAATAAAAAAAATCGTATTCCTATGAAAATAAACCCCTTTATTCAATAAACTTCTTATTTTATAAGTGATTTATCCTAGCAAATTGAATAAATTAGATTAAATATTTTTTTCCTTACCTGTTTGCCTTCTTCGTTAAGAATACCTTTTCTACAGACAAGTAAAATTCCATTCAAACCATCATAACCGTCTCTCCTGAAATCTACATCAGAAAAGTATCTCCAAGGTAAGCAATCTGGATCCATACTTGTTGGACCATATTGTTGCAAAAGAGTCCAGTAGGACACTTTTGTCTCGTTTGTCTTCACTTCTCCTGCATATATACATAAACATAATATAGTTAGAAAATTAATTTAAAAAAAAGGTGGAAAAAGGTAAAGGTTCTCATCAGGACGCATTCCTTTACGACAGTGAGAGAGACATTTCAAAATAAATAATAATTATCCTAAGATGAAAATCACTCTTCATAATGCGTTGAAGACTTAAAAATTTTTTTTTTCTAAATGAGTCTTAAGATGAAAGAATAAAAGTGGAAAACAACTTAGTGATATGAAGTAAAATAAAATTAACATGTGTTGAAATTAGATATACTAATCTAACAGTTAACAAAAGTTAAGAAGAAAAAATATAATAAATGCGCTTTTAGTTATATCGTATGAAAAATTGGTAAAAAAATATATAAAACAGTTTTTTATTGCTGCCATGAAAAAAATCCTTTAATAATAATTATAATTGGAAAATGCGAGCATCAAAATCCACAATACATAGAGAAATTAATGCATGCGAAATACAATAAAATACGTTAAAAATAGGTTAATACACAAAAAAACAATTAAAAAAGTATTTTAGTGGTAAAATCGTTAAAAAAATATATATGAAGGCAAGACCAGGGCTGGAAAAACAGCCCGTCCGCCCGTCCTCGACGGTCAAAAATTCCCCGCGGACAACGAATTTCTCGAATCCGACGTCCGCGCGGACGGCCATTTTCCCGTTAATGTTCGTGATACATTTTCAATTTTTGTTATCTTACAGGAGTCTAGCGCCTCACTTCTAGGATGACCCTGAAATGGAATTGATATTTTCTCTGTCTGGGAGTACTGCACGTTTGAAAGGGGCTTCTCAGCAATGAACTTTCAAAAAAACACATTACGTACTGGTCTTAAACAAGAAGCGTTAAACACAATTATGAACATCTACCTAAATGGAAAACCCCTTTTAGATTTCTGTGCAGAAACCTCTGTAAATCATTGGCTTGATTGTGGAACTGGCAAACGTCATATTTGATTCATTTAAAAAA